GGATGACCATGCTGTGGACAGTCACTCTCTTTCCCCAGCCATTCCAGTCATTGCCCAATGGGCCCATGAACAACGTGGCCATGGTGATAGAGATGGGGGTTATGCATGGGCTTGACAGCATGGACTTCCACTCACCAAGGTTGACCTGGCTACAACTGCTGCTGAGTGCCAGACCTGCCAACAGCAGAGACCAGCACTGGGCCCCAGAAATGGCACCAGTCTCTGGAATGACCAGTGACCTAGTGGCAGGTTGGACCACTTCCTCCATTGAAAGGACAGCATTTGTCCTTACTAAAGTAGATACTTATTTTGGTTTTAGATTTGCCTTTCCTGCATGTAATGTTTCTACCAAAACCATGATCTGTTGATTACAGAATGTCTTATCCACTGTCATGGTATTCAACACAGTATTGCTTCTGATTGTATCACTTCACAGCCAGAGGTGCAACAGCGGGCCCACAATCATGGCATCCACTACACCCTGCTCCCCACCAGCTGGTGGCCTGATAGGAAGATGTAACGGCCTTTTGAAGATGGTTTATAGCACCAGTTAGGAAGCAGCAGCATGGAAGGCTGGGGCAGATTCTCCAGAGGGCAGTATATGATTTGAATCAGTGTCCAATATATGGTAGTTTTTCCCATAGCCAGGATTCAAGGGTTCAGGAATCAAGGCATTAAAAAAGGAATAGTTCCACTCACTATCACCCCTAGGAACCCACTAGGAAAAATTTTACTTCCTGCTCCTTCAACCTTAAGTTCTACTGACCTACAAGTTTTGATTTCAGAGTGGGTAGCACTCCTGCCAGAAGCCACAGCAAATATTCCAATGAACTGGAAATTCAGATGTCCCCCTGGCCACTTTGGCTAAAAAAGGAATAACAGTGTTAGGACGGGGTGATTGATTCAGATTACCAAGGGGAAATTGGATTGTTTTTCCGTAATGGAGGTAAAAAAGATTTTTCTGGAGTACGGGAGATCCTTTAGGGCATCTCTTGGTGCTAATCTTTAAGGCATATCCTGTGACTAAAGCCAATGGGAAACTACAACAATCTAATCTAGACAGGATGAAAAAGGGCACAGACCCTTCAAAAATGAAGTTATAGGTCACTGCTCCAGGAAAAAGGCCAAGAACTTACTGAAAGTGGAGGAAATACAGGATGATTAGTAGAGGAAGGTAGTTATAAACACCAGCTAAGGCTACGTGACCAATTGCAGAAATGAGGATAATTGACATGAGTGTTTCTGTCATATTTTGTTTTTGTACAGATTGTGTTTTCTTTCCTCAATTTCTTTATCATGCAATGTAGCATTATAATATATAAAGTTTTGAGATACCAAAAGAATGTCCCTCAAGGGACATGGCCATCTAACATTCATAATGCATTTGTGGTTGTATGTTGGATAGTTATATCATGTCATGTATGTTTATTACCTGGTTATTTTCATTTGGAAATTAATCATGACATATATGATTGTGTGTCAAGTTGACAAAGGGTCAACTTGCAATGGTTATTGGCTGTCAACTTGACCACATGTAGAATTAATTAAAACCCAAGCAGCTCGGTACATCTATAAGGGATTTTTTTTTAATTAAATCATCTGAAATGAAAGACCCACTTTCAGACAGAATCTCTTGAGGTAGGAAAATACACCTTTAATCCAGATCTTTCTGGGTGGGATCCACCTTTTAATATGGGCCACATCTTCTGCTGACACTCTATTTAAAGCACATGAAAAAAGGATTGCTGTCTTTGCCTGCGTGGTCTCACAGGTAAATTCCTTCACTGGCACAACAGCCTACTTCTTCAGGATTCTGAAGACCAGTTGAGATATCCAGCCTCATTAACTATTGAATTCTTCCTTAGGTAGACAGTCATTGCTGAATTAGCTGGACCACAGCCTGTAAGCCATTTTCTAATAAATCCCATACATATATCTCCAGTCTATAAATTCTGTTCCTTTAGAGACCCTGACTAATACCCTTTCTATTTATGTTTAGTTCCATCTTTTTCTTATAAAGGATCTTGGGCTGCTGATTTGCATGTCATATTATGTACAAACCTATCTACATAATAAGTCAGGCCAGGGACCTGGAGAGATGGCTCACCAGGTTAAGAGTACTACTTGTTCTTTCTTAATGGTCCTGAGTTCAATTCCCAGCAACCATGTGGTAGTTCACAACCATCTATAGTGGTATCTGATGAATAAAATAAACAAATTTTTAAAAAACCCTCAGGTTAGTGAATCACACCAATATCAATTCTGCTTCCTAAACTATACCATAACACAAAAATAGTAAGTTTGTGAAAGGATACGTAATTTCTCCTGTTCTTCTCCCAAAAGTTTAAAACAAAACAAGTCTTTTTAAAGATTTTTTTTAAGGGAAGAAGTTAGTTACACAGGTTCACACTCTAGGAATCAAATCTAAGAAAAGCTAAGAGAAAAAAATATAAAGGAAATGTAAAACTCAGACCTACTTTTCCATATAACTTTCTCTTGACCAAACCTAATTATACTTGCAAGATAATATGATGAGAATTTTGTTCTAATTCCAACATTAGCATAAACCTGGCCAAAAGAATGCTTTCACTGAGCTAGGCAGTGGTGGCATATACCTTTAATCCCAGCACTTGGGAGGAAGAGGCAGGTGGATCTTGAGTTGGAGGCCAGCCTGGTCTGTATACAGAGTGAGTTCCAGAACAGCCAGTGCTACACAGAGAAACCCTGTCTTAAAGGGGCAGGGGGACGCCGGGCGGTGGTGGCCCACGCCTTTAATCCCAGCACTCGGGAGGCAGAGGCAGGCGGATCTCTGTGAGTTCCAGGCTGGGCTGGACAGGACAGCCTCCAAAACAATACAGAGAAACCCTGACTCGTAAAAACCAAAAAAAAAGGGGGGGGCAGGGGGAATGCTTTTATTTACATACTAGAAAACCTCAAATTTGCCAACCCACATAGTATGTTCCAGTTTTTCACACTTGCTGTTTTACTGTCAACTTAGCAGGGCCTTCCTATCCATCCAGTTCAATAGAATGCAACTTGGTCATTCTCATCCCACCTAGCCAAACACTGCTTTTCAAGAGTCAGCTTATATCTCACATACTTCATAAATCCAACCTTTCCTGTATTAAGTCTCATCCATCTCCTTCACCTCTACATTGCCAGAATCCTTACAAAACAAAAACAACTTCTTTTTTTTTTTTTTGGTTTTTCGAGACAGGGTTTCTCTGTGGCTTTGGAGGCTGTCCTGGAACTCGCTCTGTAGACCAGGCTGGCCTCAAACTCACAGAGATCTGCCTGCCTCTGCCTCCCGAGTGCTGGGATTAAAGGCGTGCGCCACCAACGTCCGGCTCAAAAACAACTTATTTATATAATAGTGACTTACCCAGTTTGTCTTAAAAACAAAATTGGTAGAGTTCTTGCTTAGCACACACGAAGACCCGAAGCACTGAGACCCCAGCACCTAGTGTGGTAGTGCAAACCCAGCACCTAATGTGGTAGTGCAAACCCAGCACCTAGTGTGGTAATGCAAACCCAGCACCTAGTGTGGTAGTGCAAACCCAGCACCTAGTGTGGTAGTGCAAACCCAGCACCTAGTGTGGTAGTGCAAACCCAGCACCTAGTGTGGTAGTGCAAACCCAGCACCTAGTGTGGTAGTGCAAACCCAGCACTCTGGCAGTGAAGGAAGATTGGGAGTTCAAGAACAGCCTATGCTCCATAGCTTCTTCCAGGCCCATGTTGGGCTACAACAGACCCCTATATCAACAGTAGTAATCATCATCATCACACACAAAAAGGACAGTACCCCAGCTACTCCCCCTACCATTAGCACTGGGTTCAGACCCTAATACCACACACACACACACACACACACACACACACACACACACACACACACAAAGAATCAACCATCTTGTCCTCAGGTATACCAGAAAACCCTTGACTATATCATGTATCTGTCTACATGCAGTATCTAACATCAACTAATCTAAGCACACAATATACTCTCAAAGGCCAATCAGTTGGTTCAGTTGGCTAAAAGTCACAATAATTTTAAACCAAAAATGACAACTTGATACTATTGAACAGACACTAAAATCAACAAAAAGTATACAACATGATTTGGGGAGTGGCACTTGACAGATGTTGTAATACACGGAGGCTACACACAAGAATATTCTTACTAGCCAGGCCTAGTGACACATGCCTTTAATCCCAGCATTGAGAGGCAGAAGCAGGCAGATCTGTGAGTTTGAGGCCAGTCTGGACAACATAATGAGTTCCAGGACAGTTAAGGCTATGTGGAGAGATCCTGTCTCAAAACAACAAAAAGAATATTTTTACTACAGTAGCAAATAGTTCTTTAGTAGTTTGTATTTTTTAATGAGAAAAAGTCAAATAACGGCAAAGGATGTAAAGATACAAGATAAGGATAAGCCAGGAACTTGGGGGGGGGGGGACAAGCAGAAATAGTTTGGTGGGAGTATTTGCTATCGAGAAAATTATATGCGATAACAAATCAAGAAAATAGGGGGTACGCCCAACTATTTGATCTAGGTCACAACTTTCCTTCCCTTCCAACCTATAAATGTCCCAGGAAAGGAAGATAAAAAGGAAGAAAGAATTAATTAATTAATGCCTGAATCCTTATAGGAAGGATAACATAAAACGAATTTTATATCCTAAACAGGAGACAATCAAAGTGGAATTAAACCCTGCCTCAACCATGTTGGCAGAACACCAAATTTACTTTCCTAGCTCAGACAAAAGCGGTTGGTGGCGATCACATCTCTTCTCTTCAATGCTACTTAATGGCAGAGCTATTTCCACCCACTTGGCCTCAGGTCCCTTCCCTAATGTAATGCTAACAGCGCTTAAAGCAAAGTGTAGTGTGGAAACTGGAGAGCAGTGCTAACACGAACAGTCTAGCGCCCGACAGCCCGGAGCAGCCTCTGCTCCGGGGTTCCCACGAATACCGACAGACTCCGAGTCGGAGGCCTTACCACAAAGCCCAGTCACCGAAGCCCGCGCGCTGTCTAGGCTGTCAGGGCCTGACCCAAGGATCCCCTACCCTCTCGGAAACCTGGAGGGACGGCTCCCGGCGCACGGCTGCTCCCCCTCACCTTCCCACCGCTTACACGGCTTAGCCTTGCACGAACTCCAGGAAGCCAGGGCTGTCCGTCCGCCTCGGAACACAACCGGTACGGTTGAAAATTTGAACTCAGGAACCCGGTCGAATGCACCAATCAGAGATCCGAGAACCGACAAACCCCGCCCTCTGATTGGCCTCGGAAAATGCAGCGACGCCGGAAGCTAAGAGGCGGGACCAAGCTCACAACTGGCCAGAGAGGCTTCAGGGAAATGTAGTCTCTTGCACGTATGGGCGCACATTGAAACTCTACTACAAAACCCAGAATCCTCTGCTTCCTATTTGGTTTTGTTTGCGGCTGGGATGGGGTGAAACGTTTTGTTTTGAGAGGGCCTCTTGGAGCCTAAGTATGCCTGAATCCTCTGTATGACTGAGGATGACTTTAAACTATCCTCCTGCTTCCCCCACTTCCCAAATGCAAGGATTTCAGCTGTGTATCATCATGCTAGGCTTGTTCGTACTTAATTGGGAGAATTGGTACTAGATGAAGTGAAACCATTTATGAAATAGCGGTTAAATATATAACGCATCCTAGACGTCTCGGAATCCACGGAAGGAAATTTTTACTGGTTTGTTTGTTTGTTTGTTTGTTTGTTTGGGGGAGCGGTTCGAGACAGTGTTCACTGCATACCAGCTCTGCCTGTCTGTGTAGACCAGGCTGTCCTGGAGATCCGCCTTCCTCTGCCTCCAGAGTGCTGGGATTAAAGACGTGCTCCACCACACCCGGCCTTTTTGCTGTTGTTAAAGGTTATTCTCTCCATGTTTACTCGTTGTGTTTCCTACAAGGAACCCAGTGGGTTAGCCCTGGCCTTTGATCCCAGCACTCAGAAGACAGAAACAGGGTGAATCTCCGTGCATTCTAAGCCAGTCTGGTGTGCAACAGTAAATTCCAGAGCAGCCAGGGCTCTGTAAGGACACCTTGTCCCAAAACACAGACAGAAAGCCACAGCTTCCTACAGGCAGCCTACACTTCCTTCCAGGTCTCTTTCCCTGTCTCTATGGGTCTCCATACTCTGTCCAGTCCCAGACCTGCCCCAATGTTAACTGGCTAAAAGCAAAGTTCTGTGATTTCTTCTTTTCTTTTAAATCCCAACTGTATTATTGTCTTTAATACTCATTCCTGTGTTTTAAAAGAGAAGGCAAAGACTGAAAAAAGGTTGAGGAATAAGCCGGGCAGTGATGGTTCATGCCTTTAATGCCAGTACTCGGAGACAGGCTGATCTCTGAGTTCAAAGACACAGACTGGTCTACAGAGTGAGTTCCAGGACAGCCAGGGCTACACAGAGAAACACTTTCTCAAAAAAAAAAAAAAAAAAAAAGAAGAAAGTGACAAATGTGTTATGTATCATGATCTATATAGCAATTTATACGTATATAAAAGACATAATGAAACACAGATTACATACTAACTAAAATTTAGAAGTTTAAGTAAACTTTCTACGATAATGTAAGTGAAGGAGATAGTATTTGAACGTTCTTTGCATGTGTGTATGTATGTACATGTGTGAAGAGGCCAGAGGTCATCCTCAGGTATCGTCCTCCATGGCTCTCCACCTTATTTTCTGAGGAAGGGTCTCTCTCTGAACCTGGAACTCATTGATTCAGCTGGCCTGGCCAGCAACCCCCAAAGATCTTCCTGTCTCCATCTCCCCAGGACTGAAATTATAGATGCTCATTTCTGTACATATGGGTGCTAGGGATTGAACCAGCACATGCGACAAGCACTTTACTGACAAGAGTTAATTAGGCAATTAAAAAATAATATCAAAAGGAATGTTTTAAATATTTATTTATTATGTCTGCAGGGCAGAAGAGAGCACCAGGTCTCACTACAGATGATTCTGAGCCACCATGTGGTTGCTGGGAATTGAACTCACGACTTACTGGAATAGCAGTCAGTGCTCTTAACTGATGAGCCATCTCTCCAGCCCTTAAAAGGAATTTAAAAAATACTCTGTGTATTTATCTAAGAGTGTCTTGCTCTCCAGCCCAGCTGGCCTCACACCCTGGATCACAGAAGCCTACAGAAAGAGAAAATATCTTTACCAATTATACATTTGATATAGAGTTAGCACCTAGAACACAAAGAATTTTAAAAAGCTGAACATCAAGAAAATAACCCTACTAAAAATGGATCCAGAACTAAGTAGAGAATTTTCAAAAGATGAAACACAAATGACTGAGAAACACATTAAAGCAATGTTTAAAATCCTTAGTCCTCAGGGAAATTCCAATTAAAACTACTTTGAGATTTCTTCTTATCACAGTTAGAATGGCCAAGATCAATAAAAATAAATGATAGCACATGCTGGTGAGATGTGGGGAAAAGAAAACACTTATTCATTGCTGATGGGAGTGCAAATTGGTACACTTCTTATGGAACTCAGTGTGTAGGTTCCTCAGGAAACTGAATCAATCTACCTCAAGCTCCAGCAAGCTATATCACTCTGTGATATATCCAAAGACTCTACATCCTTCCAAGGAGATTCTTGTTCATCCATGTTCACTGATGCTCTATTCATAATATTCTATTCTGGTCAGCAACTGGAAACACCCTAGATGTCCATCAACTGATGAATAGATAATAGAATTGTGATACACTTATACAACAGACTATTATTCAGCTGTTAAGAAAAATGAAATTAGGCCAGATGTGGTGGTGCCTTTAGTTCCAGTACTTCGGAGTCAGAGGCAGAATGATCTTTGTGAGTTCAAGGCCAGTCTGGTGTACACACTGAGTTAGGACCACCAGAGCTAAGCAACATCTGCATTCTGCCATCCTGGCAGGTGTGGTCCACAGCTACAATTTCAAATGGTATCTATTCCTGTGGTTGATTGAATAAGAATGGCTCCTGTAGGCTTAGAGGTTTAATATTCAATCTCCAGTCTGTAGAACTGTTTGCAAAGGATTAAAGGTGTGGCCTTGTTGGAAGGAGTGTGTCATGGGGGTCAGTCCTTCCCTTCCCAGTGTCCACTCTGTCTCCTGCTTATGGATGGAGATGTGGGCTCTCAGCTATTGCTGTAGCTGACTGTCATGCCTTCACTCCACCATCATATACTCTAACCCTCTGGAACTGTAAGCACAATTTTTGCTTTGTTTTTCAAGACAGGGTTTCTCTGTGTAACAGTCCTAGCTGTCCTGGAACTCACTTTGTAGACCAGGCTGGCCTGGAATTCACTGAGATCTGCCTGCCTCTGCCTCCCCATTGCTGGGATTAAAGGCGTGTGCCACCGCCACCCTGCTATGTAAGCCCAATTGAACTCTTTTATAAATTGCTTTAGTTATGGTGTTTTGTCAACAATAAAAGCCCTAATACAATTCCATCAACAAATTTTGGGACACCAAGCATCTTCCCCAGGATTTCTCCACACCAGCATATCACAAGGTGATGAAGACTGCAGCAGAATCTCCTGGCCTTTCTAAGTAGGATGGGAAGTGGTGATAGGTCCCAAAATGGCAGACAGATCAAGTTCTTTACTTAATTTTTAAGATTTGTTTTTAATTGGGTGTATGGGTGTATGTGCACGTGAGTGCAGGTGCCTGAAGTCTCTTGAACTGGAGTTACGGGTGGTTGTGAGCCACCCAAAAGGGATGCCAGAAACCAAACCTGAGTCCTTTCCTCAACAGCAGCAAATGGTCTTAACCACTGCTGTGGTTTGAATGGGAATGGCCCCTGCAGGCACAATAAAGCTCCAAAGTTAAGTTTTTAAAAAGAAGGATACCAGCACTTGGGAGACAGAGGCAGCCGGATCTCTGTGAGTTCGAGGCCAGCCTGGTCTACAGAGCGAGTTCCAGGACAGCCAGGGCAGTTACACAGGGAAATTGGCATGTCTTAAAATGGCAGTCATGCAGTGACAGGATGTACAGGAAGAGTCCCATTGAGAGCCCAGTGTGGATAGTGTAGCAGAAACCAGGGGCCTCCAATCAAACCAACCCCCCCAAACAGGGTTCCTCTGTGTAAGAGCCCTAGCTGTCCTGGAAATCTCTCTGTAGACCAGGCTGGCCTCAAGCTTACAGGTATCCACCTGCCTCTGCCTCCCAAGTGCTGGGATTAAAGGCGTGTGCCACCAATGCCAAACAATGATTCTTTGCAACATGTGCTTGTAAAAATGTATGGATAAAGGAGTTCACTGTATGACTTATTGTGTCACACTGCAGTGTCCATGACTTTTCCCTTCTCTTTTTTCTTCCTTTTTTAATCTTAAATTTTATTATGTTTTATTTGGGGGGGGGTTTGCAGGCGCAGAGGGCAGATTCAAGAGGACAGGAGATAGGTGGGATCAGGATGCATGATGTAAAAGACACAAAGAATAAATTTTTTAAAAAAGGAAAGTTTTTTTAAAGTGGCAGCTATGAAGCCTGATATGGTAGTGCATGCCTTTAATCCCAACCCAGGGAGACAGAGGAAGATGGAGCTCTGTGAGCTAGAGGCCATCCTGGACATAGTCCTGGCTGTCCCAGAACTCACTGTATAGACCAGGCTTGCCTCAAATTCTTAGAGATTCTCTTACCTCTGTCTCTGAGGTGCTGCGATTAGAGGCATGCTGTCATCCCTTATTTCTTATTTCTCTTATTTTTAGCCAAGAATAAACATTTTCTTCACTGGGAGAGAGAAGAGGGTTGAGGGAGGGAGAGGAGATGAAGAAAGAAAAAACAGAAGGAACCCCCATCCCTATCCTTATGGTGCTGACATTCTAGTGGGAAGGGAGATCTCAAACAGGGTAAATAAGTAATTGATAAGGATGTAGGAGTTAGGTGGTAAGCTATGTAACAGGTGTTGACTTGGTCTGAAGAGTGCTGCCTTCGAGATGAAGAGGTAGGCAAGGGTTGGACACAGGCAGAAGGCAAGGGAGGGCAGAGGTCTGTCTCAGCCATGGCTGCCCCATTTCTAGGACATGCATGACTGAACCAGAGGCACATGCAGAGCCAGGGAGCAGACATGCCCAGGTGGGGATAAGGGTACCACAGTTTTGTTAAGGAAGGTACAACAGGGCTATGTGTTCAGGGTCTACTAGACAAACGGTACTAAATGGCCAATGAAAAGAGTGAATGAATGATGACATTCATTTTTTCATACCAGAAGACCCAAGTCCTTCCAAATTAAGAACTGTGTCTGGCCCAAGGGACTCCATGCCTGTTCTATCTTCCACATCCACTGAGTTCTAGTTGGATCTCAGTTCAAATGTCCTTCCTGGGTAAACAGGTGTTAAGGAGATCTGAAATCACAGAAGCAGAATTTTAGTGCTAGCAAGAAACACAGGGCACAACTGGTCTACACCATCACAATTTCAGCATTATTGATGGAGGGGGCCAAGAACAGAAATAAAGAAATCAATGACCAGTTCTTGCACTGTACAAGTTTCAAAAAAACTGGAAACTACCTAAATTTTCCTAAGCAGGGGAATATTTCATGAAACTGCCTAGAATGAAATATTAAGTAATACTTTGATAAGCTGGGCAATGTGGCACACGCCTTTAATCCCAGCATTCAGGAGGCAGTGGCAGACAGATCTCTGAGTTCAAGATCAGCCTGGTATACACAGAGAGTTCCAGGACAACCAGGGCTACACAAAGAAACCACATCTCCAAAAAAAAAAAAAAAAAAAGACACATTTTTCTTTCTTTCTTTTTTTTTTTTCAGTTTGTTGATTATGTGTACAGTGTCTGCACATATGCCTGAAGGCCAGAAGAGGGCACCAGGTCTCACATAGATGGTTGTGAGCCATCATGTGGTTGCTGAGAATTGAACTCAGGACATATGGAAGAACGGCCAGTACTCTTAACCTCTGAGCCATTCTCCAGTCCAAAAGACACATTTTCAAGTTAAAAAAATGAATTGAAGGTAAAGGCACTTCCTTCTAATCCTAACAACCTGGGTCCCATACCTGGGACCCACACAGTAGAAGGAGAGAACCCACTCCTACAAGTTATCTTCTGACCTCTACACATGACCCCCACACACACACAGAGAGAGAGAGAGAGAGAGAGAGAGAGAGAGAGAGAGAGAGAGAGAGAGAGAGAGAGAGAGAGAATAAAGTAAAATGTTAAACGAGTGTTAATGGATATAAATTCATTATGAAGCTATTACGTTTTGTTAAAATATCAGGAAGGAGGGGACAGAGAGATGGCTCATGGGTTAAGAGCACTTGCTGATCTCTCAGAGAATCCCAGTTTGGGTTAGAGCACTCATACGGAGCAGCTCATAACTGCTCTGGCACAGTTGGCTACTCGACTTGCCTGGAAAGAGGGAACCTCACCTGAGGAACTGCCTCCAACAGACTGGTCTCTGGGCAGGTCTGTGAGGCATTTTCTTGATTGCTAATTGGCTAAAGAGGGCCTAGTCCACTGTGGGTGGTGGAACCCCTACACAGGTACCTGGTACACAGGTAACCCTGGATTATGTAAGAGGTAGCTCAGCAAGCAAGAGGAAGCCGCTGGGAAATAGCACTCCCCTGCTGTCTCTGCCTGAGTTTCCTCTGATGGTGGATTGTGACCAGTAAGGCAAGTAAATCCTGTCCTCCCTAAAGTTGCTTTTGATCAGTGTTTTATCAAAGCAGCAGAGAAGCAAACTACAGTAGCCTGACCCTCTTCTGTCTTCCATGGCACCAGCTTGCATATGATGCACATATATACGTGCAGGCACTCACATAGATACATAAAATAAATTTCATCTGGGTGATGGCACATACCTTTAATCCCAACATTCTAGAGGCAGAGGCAGAGACAGGCATATCTCCAAGAGTTGAAAGCCAGACTGACTTACATAAGTGTCAGAATCCAAACTCCAAAGGACAAATACTGCCAAGGACAAAGGTATACCATGTCAGTAATCCCAGCTACTCAGAATTTCAAACCAGGAAGATCACAAATTCAAGGCAATGTGGCCAACCCCATCGGAAACAAAAAACAAAATTGGCTAGGAATGTAGCTTAGTGATGGGGCATTTGTAAAAAGCCCTGGTTTCTTTTTTTTTTTTTTTTTCTTTTTTTTTCTTTTTTGGTTTTTACGAGACAGGGTTTCTCTGTGGCTTTGGAGGCTGTCGGTCCAGCCTGGCCTCGAACTCACAGAGATCCACCTGCCTCTGCCTCCCGAGTTCTGGGATTAAACGCCTGCGCCACCACCGCCCGGCCTAAAAGCCCTGGTTTCTATCCTTTGCATTGCAAAAACTGAAAGGGAGAGAGGGAGAGAATTGAAGCCAAGTAGGGCTGGAGAAATGATTCAGTGGTTGAGAGCACCTGTTGCTCTTTTTTTTAATTTTTTTAATTTATTATGTATACAGTGTTCTGTCTGCATGTATGCCTGCAGGCAGGAAGAGGGTATCAGATCTCATTACAGATGGTTGTGAGCCACCATGTAGTTGCTGGGAATTGAACTCAGGACCTCTGGAAGACCAACTAGTGTTCTTAACTCCTGAGCCATCTCTCCAGCCCACCTGCTGCTCTTGAAGATGCAGTTCAATTCCTACCGATGATATTGATGGCTACAACTTTAGCTCCAGGGGGATCCGAAATCTCTAGCCTCCTAGGGCACCTACACATATATATACACATACACAGACACACAGACACACAGACACACACACACACACAGACACACACACAGAGAGAGAGAGAGAGAGAGAGAGAGAGAGAGAGAGAGAGAGAGAGAGAGAATATTTACAAATTAATAAAAAAAACAAATCCTTTTTTGTTTGGTTTTTCAAGACAGGATTTCTCTGTGTAGCTCTGGAACTGGTTCTGAAGACCAGGCTGGTCTTGAACTCAAAGAGATCCACCTGCCTCTGCCTCCTGAGGCATGTGCCACTATTGCCCCAGCAACAGAGTTCTCCTTTTTAAAAAAAAATGAGAAAAAGAAGTTGAATAAAAAGACCAACTTAAAAAAAAACCAACAAGCAATATAAACAGTATTTATCACCTGGCTGTGGTGGCACACACCTTTAATCCCAGCACTTGGGAAGCAGAGGCAGGTGGATCTCTGTGAGTTCAAGGCTAGTCTGTTCTACAGAGTGAGTTCCAGGGCAGCCAGTACTGTTACAAATAGAAAATCTGTCTCAAAAAACAAACAAGCCAGGCAGTGGTGACGCACACCTTTAATCCCAGCACTCAGGAGGTAGAAGCAGGAGGATCTCTGTGAGTTCCAAACCAGCCTGGTCTACAAGAGCTAGTTCCAGGACAGCCTCCAAAACCACAGAGAAACCCTGTCTCAAACAACCAAAAATAAATACATAAATAAATAAATAAGTAAACCCCAGCATTTACCACAACTAAAAACCTAATAAATTGTTCAACTTCACTCAAAGTAATATTAAATGAAAGACTGCTTTTCTGTGGTGTTTTATTATTGTTGTTTTGTGTTGATAATATTTTGAGACAGGGTTTCTTGTATCCCAGGCTGGACTGGAACATCCTTTGCCCAGAGGATGAACTTGAACTCCTGATCTCCTAGGATTATAGGTCCAGCTGCCTTTCGGTTTTAACCCAGCTGACCGGCAAGGATGAAAATACAATTAAAAGACAAAACAAAACTGGGCAGGGCTGGCGTTGAAGCACAGTGGTGAAAAGCAAACCTGATGTGTGAGATCTTGGGTTCCCTACGGCACGGAGAGTACCACGTGCACACACTATGCAACACACTGTGATCTTCCATGTGAAGAACTAGACACGGCAGAATTTGCTACTGGGAAGCTAAACTAGCACAGTCGCCATACAGAGCACTTTGCCAACACTCATTAGGGTCGAAATGGATTAATCTGCTCATACGCTGATAATTTTACTCCTAGGAATTTTTATCTTACAAATGCCAACATATGCAGAACACAGATTAGACAAGTGTTATTTGTAATGGGAAAAGATTGGAAACTACCTAAATGTTCCCAAAGTTGGGGGAAATGGGTGATTAAATGACAGCATATCCTTATAAAGTTAATGTTTTTGTGTTTCTAGTCTTTTGTCTTATTTTTTGCTTTTTTTTTAAACACTGGGTCTCACCTACGTGGGCCAGGCTGGCCTCAAATACACACAGATCCACCTCTCTCTTCCTCCCAAATGCTAGGACTAAAGGTGTGCGCACCATATGCTAGCTACTGTGCTATTTCCTTTTTGTTTTTCTAATTTAGAAAATCAGGCCAGGGAGATGGCTCAATATGTAAAAGCACTTGCACTCAACCCTGACGCCCTAAATTTGCTTCCCAGAACCCACACAAAGCCATATGTGGCAGCTGACGTGTACTCCCAGCCAGAGCACCTCTGTAGCAGCGTGGGACAGAGACAGGGTGATCAAGATCTGCAGAATAAGAGAGACCTTGCCTGGAAAGCAAATAAAACAAACTAGGTGAGGGAAGAAACCTACTCCCTAAATACTGTTCTCTGATTTCCAGACACATGATCATTCTTTTTTAGGTTTTTTTTTAAAGTTTATTATGTATACAGAGTTCTGCCTGCATGTATGTCTATGGGCCAGAAGAGGGCACCAGATCCCACTATAGATGGTTGTGAGCACCATGTAGTTGCTAGCAATTGAACTCAGGACCTCTGGAAGAAGCAACCAGTAGTGCTCTTAACCTCTGAGCCATGTCTCCAGACCTCCTGGATTTATCTTATGTGTGTGAGTGTTCTGTCTGCATGCCTGCGCAGAAGAAGTCGGACTTCAGCTCCCCTAGGACTGGAATTACAAATGGTTGTCAGTCACCAAGTAGATGCTGGGAACTAAACCTGGGTCCTCTTAAAAGAGCAAAATAAGTGCTCTAAACCACTGAGCCATCTCTTCAGCCTCAGTGATCAAATAAATTGGTAAATAGAGAATCACTTGTTATAATATGCTAAATATTTGTATAAGTTCCTTTTTTAAGAATTCATTAACTTGCCGGGCATTGGTGGCACACGCCTTTAATCCCAGCACTCGGCAGGCAGAGAGGCAGGCGGTTCTCTGTGAGTTCTAGGCCAGCCTGGTCTACAGAGTGAGTTCCAGGACAGCCTCCAAAACAATACAAAGAAATCCTGTCTCAAAAAAAAAAAAAGACTATTTACTTGCCAGGCAGTGTTGACAAAAAAATTTAGTCCCAGAACTCAAGATGCAGAGGCAGGCAGATCTCTGTGAATTTGAGGCCAGCCTGGTCTACAGAGTGAGTTCCAGGACAGCCAGGGCTACACAGAAAAACCCTGTCTTGAAAAAACAAACAAATAAACAAAACCACTTACTTGTTAAGAAGACAAGATTATCAGTGGTTTGGTTTGGGAAATGATCTAACACAAAATTACCCTTCAGACAATGAGCATTATAGAGGGTAGACACACAACCACTAGGACATGGTCAGGCCTTAAGCGGGAAAGCTTTAAGGATAACACATCACACCAGAGGCAGCATGACAGGGCTGTGAGCTGAGACCATCATAGACATTGAGAAAGTCAGCTTCATGCGAATGGGCACAGAGCTGCTATGGAGGGGGCGGGGTAGAGAGAGAAAAATCAAGAGTCAGCCAGCTAGGGACTCAGAGAGGGAGAGAGGGGGGGAGAGGGAGAGAGAGGGAGGAGGAAAGGGGAAAAGAGAGAGAGAGAGAGAGAGAGAGAGGGAGGGAGGGAGGGAGGGAGGGAGGGAGGGGGGGAGAGGGAGGGAGGGAGGGGGGGAGAGAGAGAGAGAGGGAGGGAGGGAGGGGGAGGGAGAGAGGGAGGGAGAGAGGGAGAGGGAGGGAGGGAGGAGAGGGAGAGGGAGGGAGGGAGGGAGAGAGAGAGAGAGAGAGAGGGAGGGAGGGAGGGAGGGAGGAAGAGAGAGAGGGAGGGAGGGAGGGAGGGAGGGGGGGAGAGGGAGAGGGAGGGAGGGAGGGAGAACCAGACATCTCTTACTTCTAAAGGGCTTCTCTAGGACATAAGGGGCCTGGCCATGGCTCAAAGCAGATGCGAAGCAGCACATTTATTTACAAATCCATTACAGTGCTAAGGGAGAGCAGCTGGAGAGGAAGGGGAGGCAGATCTGGAAGTTACGGTCAGAATACACTATGTGTGCAGCGTGCATGTGTGCTACCAGGAGTTGGAGGGCGGGCGAACAATTCTGAGTTAGTTTTCTCCTTCCCACTCTGTGGGTTCTGGATGGAAGTCAGGTTGTCAGGCTTGGTGGCAAGCAGCTTTACAGGATGAGCGATGTCACCAGTCCTCAAAAACTGCTCTCTGCTGGCTGGGGGTGGGGGTGAAGCTGACATAGGTGAAAACGGTGAAAGACACACATGCCGCTTTGATCAGGGATGGAGCGCAAGGTCCTTTATCCTGTTGGTTAAGCCGTGACTTTGGTCCTGGCCGGCCTGGGTCCATCCTGCTCGGCACCCATCACTATGTTTCAGATTCTTTCCGCTCCCCCACTATTTTCTTATTCTGGGTAACTTATTAATTTCTTTTAGTCTCAGCTTCCTCTGGCTGGCTTAATTACACCCACCTGAGAGGTTTGCGAGGCTCAGTGAAGATAATGAGTTTGAAACAAGTCTGGTGTGTCCGATCCCACGTGGGCTCTGCTCATTCAGTTAAGGGGCTTCCCAAAAGGGTGGAATGAACTCTGTCGCCAACAGGGTGTTCTGTCTGCCACATCTCTGGTGAAAGATGGCGAGTTGCAGTCTCCAGATTGTGTGGTGATGTGGGAGCGGGTCTCCTCTTCCTGATGTCATGTCCTTCAACAGCACAGGAATCAGGAAAGAGGGCTCTTGTATTATGTTAGGGACTGGGTAGTCCACTATGGCCATCTGCAAACCAGGAGGCTGAGATCCCAGTAGCTCTCAGTCCACAGAAGCTAGACGACCGCTATGAGTTCAAGGACAATCTGGACTATAGTGAGTTCAAGGTCAAAGGCAGCCTGAGTTGCATAGCTACATAACTAGATCCTGTATAAAAAGAAAGATCAAATTTGCCAAGCAAGCCTGAGGATCTGAATTCCACTCTTGGTCAGAATCAACTCCCAGAAGCGGCCCTCTGACCTCCACATATACACCCACCCTCACATGCCCCCAAATAAAATAATGGATTTTTGAAAAGCGGGGGCTACAGACCATTCGGTAGACCACCTGCCTGGTATGCAAAAAGCTCTGGGTTCCATCCTCAGACAGGAGGCTCAGAAATTAGGGTCCTCCTGGGCTACACAAATTGTGGCCAGCTTGAGCTGAAAAACTGTTAAATAAATACCTTTCTTCTGCACTAGACAGCCAGAGTCGAGCTTTGCTCCAAAGCAACTCTCCCTTCACTATCATTATCATAATGCCAAGATTGGTTTGTTTGTTTTCAAGGCATTAGCAATTACCTTGTTTGTGTAATTGCTAGTTGGACACTGCCTCTACCCCTAAGGTACAAGTCTTCAAGAAAACAAGAGAACCTGTCTTGCCTTATTCATAACTATCTTCAACAATCCAAACTAAGGGTTTACTATTCTTCAGACTTTTCAAGTAGTAACTGATACACGCTTAATGAGAGGTCAATATTGGTATCTATTTTAGAATTGAAGAAAATATAAGTTGAGAAACCTGCCCGTTGCTGGTCATCTAGGGAAAAAGTGCTTTTTCTGTATGGAGACGGAGACGGATGGGTGGAGGGACTAAATAAATATGAGCCGGCAAGCGTTCTACGCGCCTGCGAACTCTCCAATCTCTCGCTAGGGGGCGCGCTTTCCCACGTCTCGACGCCAGTCCCTCCTGTGCGCACTCTTCCTGCGTCTCGGGCTCGCGCGCGCTGCCGCGGCACCGGAAGTGACTGAGCTTGCAAGTTCCCCCGGTCTCTTCAGGGGAAACTGAGGCCGGCTTCTCCGGGAGACACGGTGCGAGCAGTCAGCCAGGTAGGCCGGCCCAAGTCCGCGGCGTACAACTCGGCCGCAAAGCGCCCTGGCGTCTGGAAGCCACCAGGCCGATGAAGGGGGGATGTGGCCCCCCACGGCTCGTTGGGCTCGCAGGTGAAAGCGCCGCCTCCTGTGCTTGACAGGCGCTGCGCCCAATGGGAGCCTTTGCCGTCCCGCTTCCGTGCCGAGTCGTCCCGCGGATTGGCTGCGCCGGGGCGGGCCGCGGGGGCGAGACCCCTCCTTCCAGAGAGGTCTAGGGGGCGCCCCTGAGGGAGGGCAGTTGCCTAGCAACGGGGCGGTGGCTCGGCGTGTACCCGGCCTAGGGGAGCGCGAGCTGTAAGCGAGGCCTCAGCCCACCCACCCCGGGCTTCTGCGCGTCGTAGCCTCCCGCCCTCGAGCCCTGCAGGGGGCTCCAGAAGGCCGCCCCGGGCCCGGCCCCAGGAAAACGAGGTCTCCGCCGTGGGGGCCTCGACCCTTCTTCCTGGCCGGTGGCGGGGCGCAGCGCCTCCCTCTCACCCCGTCTTTGTGCCGGGTGCCGGCGGCCATTGTGTCCGGGCGCGGAATGGAGGACCTGGCAGTCCCCCAACGCCATGTCCAGGGCCTTTGGGGAATTCAAAGACAAGCAGCGGTGTTTGTGGGGGGTCTCCAGAATACAGCCTCTCGGAAAGGCCCGGGGGTGGCCTTTCCGAAATCAGCTCGCAGATCCGAAGCCGTGTCCCCCTCCCCTGCGCGAAACCTTGAGATTCACTGAGAAGTCCCTTCAGGGTTTTGGAAGCCTCATCCAGGGCTGGTACTTAAATAGAAAGAAAGAAAGCGGGGGGGGATATTACACTAAGCCCGTACCTCCTCCGGGAGAGTTCTCCTGGCTCCCAGTAGGAGGCAGAGAGCCAAGGGGCGTGCTAGAGCGAGGGGGTTGGGCTCTCGGGTGGCTGGAGGCTGCGGAGCAGAGAGAGGCCGCCTCGGTTGGGCATGGAGAAAGCCAGCGAGGGGGCAGGTTCCTAAGCTTCACAATTCCTGTGTCGCCTTCTGGGCTGCCTACCAGGTCGCATGATCCCTCCGGCCGGGGCTGGGTTTTTTACCAGCCGCCTCGAGGCAGGCAGAGTTACCGGCAACCCAGCCACCACCTCCTCCCGACCTATGATACAAAAGATCTTCCGGGGGCTGCACCTGCTTGCTGTCGCCGGAGATAGATTTGAATGTAGGTGGGCAGGGGGGGGGAGGCGCCAATGGGGGAGACTTTTGAGGAAGGCTTTTCGGAGAAACGGGCTGGGTGGTAAAAAGAGGCTGATGAAACGATTCAAAGCTTACTGGTCCTTTCAATTTGACTTCATTGAAGTCCCTTAGAACCTGAACTCAGACCTTCATAAGAGCCACAAAGAAACCAATTCTGGTACCTGGAGGAGGAATGGGATGTTGTAAGGTAAATGACATGCATATTAAAATTGTCTTCTGAAGCTCTTTCTCTCTCTTCAGAACCTTATCCTGGCTTTGGATCCTGGAAAAGAGTCGCTAAACACAGAGCTGACCCAGTGAGTGAGCAGGTGTTGTGGACAATGGACTGGTTGAGCCCATCTCTATTATAAAAATGTCTCAGAGCAACCGGGAGCTAGTGGTTGACTTTCTCTCCTACAAGCTCTCCCAGAAAGGATACAGCTGGAGTCAGTTTAGTGATGTCGAAGAGAACAGGACTGAGGCCCCAGAAGGAGCCGAATCAGAGAGGGAGACCCCCAGTGCCATCAATGGCAACCCATCCTGGCACCTGGCGGACAGCCCCGCGGTGAATGGAGCCACTGGCCACAGCAGCAGTTTGGATGCACGGGAGGTGATCCCCATGGCAGCCGTGAAGCAAGCGCTGAGAGAGGCCGGCGATGAGTTTGAACTGCGGTACCGGCGGGCATTCAGTGATCTGACATCCCAGCTTCATATAACCCCGGGAACTGCATATCAAAGCTTTGAGCAGGTAGTGAATGAACTCTTCCGGGATGGGGTAAACTGGGGTCGCATTGTGGCCTTTTTCTCCTTCGGTGGAGCCCTCTGTGTGGAAAGCGTAGACAAGGAGATGCAGGTGTTGGTGAGTCGGATTGCAAGTTGGATGGCCACCTACCTGAATGACCACCTAGAGCCTTGGATCCAGGACAACGGCGGCTGGGTAAGAACCACGCCCCTTGTGCTTCTTTCTGTGTCTTCCTTGAAGCTCCCCAGCTGCCCTTGTTGCTGTCTTTTCTGTTGCATGGCATGCTTGTTGAGAACGGTGATTGCTCAGGGAACCTGCCTGGCTTCATTTCAACACAAGAGGTTAACTTTGGAAACACAGATGACCCAGTTCTTGAGAGACCTGCATCTTTCATTCTGGCTATCCTTGTGGCCCCAGAGTTTCATAGTTTTGTTCCAATTTCTCAGCAAAGAAAAAAATATAACCTGTGTGTTTACTTGGCTCAAAACCTATGAGAGTGGCAAGTTCTCCCTGCTTTCTGCTCACTCTCACGTAATGGGTCACCTTGGCTGGGAGTGAGGAACACAATACCTAAGAAACTGAAGAGCTGGCAACCTCAGGCCCCTGTATACTTGCATGCATGGTACTCAGAGCATTTGGCCAGCCAGGAGCCCCCACTCACTGCCCTGAGTGGCTGAGTATTGTCTGATTTCAGGAGGGTGATCTGGGCCAGTTGTGTTTGTGCTGTGCCCCTAAGTTCATTTTCTCCAAAGTGTGCAACTTTTTACATGGGTGGCTTGTTTGTGGAACTCTTGCTGTGTCATATATTGAGCCCCAGGACTTTGCACCTCACTGCTCAGGGTCAGTTGGGGATCTCCAGCTGCTCTGCCTATTGCTTTTCTGGTCAGGGCCCTGGGGCCGCTTTACTGGAGTGCTGTTTGCTGGCAGAGCAAGAACCAGGTCTGTGAGACTATAGGAAATTAAGATTTGGTGAGACTGGATGTGGGTATGAGTCCTGGCCCTGTGACTTAAGTAGCCATGTGACCTTGGACAGACTGGTTTACTTTCTGGAGCCTTAGTTTCTATCACAGAAAAAAAAATGTGGCAAGCTCTCCTTGCTTAATAGAGTATTGTGACTCTTAGAGATAATGTGAGCAGAGGCTGACACCAGTGAGAGCCTTCTCTTCAGAGAATCCTGCTTGTCACCTAGTCAGGGTGACACAGAGGTGAGAGCTTCCTCACAGTACCCACTGTACACTGTAGTATGCAGCTTTCACCCTTTGTAGTGAACTCCATTCCCGGATAGGGGAGATTGGGCTTATGAGTGTTCTGTCCTCTCAGAATATGTAGAAATTGGACAAGCTGTGGAAAATAAGTCATCCATTGAAGGAAGTGAGGTGGAAGGGGCCATGCACCATGGACTCGGGAATGTCAAGAATTCAGTTGTTCATAGGCTGGGCTTAGGGCGGGGTAAGCACTTTGCTTTTACCACTGAGCAAGAGACCTCCTGGGTTTACCCTGAAACCCATCCTGTCTCTAGTTTCCCATTTCTTTGAAACTTCACCCACTCTTCCCCTCCAGTAGCTCTTGTAAAGGCAAAGAGGTCAGTTGTCAGTAGAGGTCAGATGACCAGGATCAAGTTGACTGAGGTAAAGGTGGGCTCCTTTGAGCTAAAGATTGCCAGACTTGAAAGTTAGTCTGTAAATGAACTCCCCAAGGAGATAAATGATTAAATAGTTCCTGTTGGTTTGTGCTGTGACCTCTTCTATTCATTCTCTCTTGCTTTGATTCTCTTTTGGGGCAAATATTTGTTCATCTGATTACAGGAGAGACAGGATTCCAGCCCTTCAGACACACCTCTGAAGCATCTCCAAGTAAACCTGGGCCCTTTGACTCTTACCACTTTCTGACTGTGTTTAGCTAGTTAGTAGTTCTAATACCAGGTAGACTCTTGCCAGCTATAAACAGTAGGTAGATGGAAGAGGCACCTGCTGGGTCAGCCAGCCTCTGCAGAGGCTACTAGAACTGAGAATTGCCAGCTGCCCCATATCGCATGTCATGTTCCAATCACCTGGAAAAATGCTAAACTCATCTAAGACACCAGCTTGAAACAAGTTCATTAGCTCTCACTGACTAAAATTCCATCTACCTCTGCCTCTTCACCCAAGAATCTCCAGAGCCTGCTGGGCAGCATACCTGGTAACTTGCTCCTTCTGCTTGGAGAGCAGAGAGTGAATGTGTATAAGAGCCAGTTATGGCAGAACCATTTCTGGGCTTGCATTCTTCCCCTGACACCAGGAGGTAAAGAACATCCACTCAGTGTCATTTGAACCTTGGAGGGAGATCTCATCTGCCCATTTCCTCTGAATTGCCCTGATGCTGCTGCAGTGGCACCCCAGACTTCCCTGGGAGCTGCAGTTTGGAGGTTGTAGAGTTCAGGTAGTTCAGGTGGTTCACCCAGGGTGTGCTCTGAGTTTAGCATCCCTGTAGGAAAGGGTAAAGACCTTAGCCTTTCTTGAGTACCTTGAGTACCTCTCATGTATTCAGCATTGTGTTTCATCCTTTATTTAACGTAGCCAATTTACTGAGCAGCTGCTATATTAAGCTAGACACTATCTCTCCATCTTGGAAATACATGGTTATTCATATGTTCCATGCAGTAACTTTCCAAGGTAGGTGAATTTATTCCCAGGTTTTGTACACAAAGCTCCAGTGGCTAAATGACTGAGCTTAAATGTTTCTCAGCCAACAAAGTGTCTAAATTGAAGTTGGCCTAATTTCAGAGTCTAAACCTTTTCCATCCATACTTTGTTCAGGAGGTAATAATCCAGAGAGACTAGCATAGAAAACCAGGGCTGAGAAAAACATGCCTGTAGAAGGTGCTCATTCCATGCTGTAATTGTAGCATTCTTCAAGC